CCCGCCACAACGCCCGGCTATTTTTTGGTTGCAGCCTTAGCCAGTTGAGCTATAGGCACCAAGCCAAGAAAAAGAAAAATTAAGGGCCTGGTGCAGTGGCTCAATCTGGGAGGCTGAAGCACATGGATTGCTTAAACTCAAGAGTTTGAGACCAGCCTGGGAAATTGCAAGACCCCAGCTCTAATAAACCTAGCTAGGTATTGTGGCAGATACCTTATATTCCAACTACTCAGGAGGCTGAAGCAAGAGGATCTCTTGAATCCAAGAGTTTGAGATTGCTGTGACCTATGATGCCATGGCATTGACTCTACCGAGGGTGACAAAGTTGAGACTCTGTCTAAAAAAAAAAAGAAAAGTAGAAAAATTAGGCATCATTGCAGGCACCCACAGCCGGCACGTGTGGGCCCAGCTACCTGGGACACTGAGGCAGGAGGATTGCTTGAACCCAGGAGTTTGAGGTTGCTGTGAATTAGACTGAGGCCATGGCTCTCTAGTCTGGGCAATAGAATGAGATTCTATCTCTAAAACAAACAAACTAACTAAAAAAATTTACTTTGTAACTACTGCCTGAAAAATCTGGTCTTTTCTGGTGCCTTGGTTCCAGTAGCACTTGAGATGAAATAGTAGTACTTCCTTGCTAACTCATGCCAATCTGGCCCTCAAGCCAAGGTGAGGAAGGTAGGCCACACTGGGCAATGCTATCAGTTAGGATTCTTTGGTTGCAAGGTCAGTTCTTTAATAGGAAGAAAGTTGGTTGCAAGCCAAAAACCAGCTCTGGCTAATTTGAGCAAGATGAAATTTCCTGGATGCTCATAAGTTTCACAGTAAGAAAAAGAAACACACACACATACACATGAGCAAAGTAAGCGAATTCCAACTCATTTTTCCCTCTGTTACTCTGCTTGAGATACCTAGGCCAGGAACAGTGACATATGCCTATAATCCCAGCATTGAGGTGGGTGAAACCCTTGAGCTCAGAGTTCAAGACCAGCCTGAACAAGAGTGAGACCTCGTTTCTAGTAAAAATAGAAAAACTGAGGCAAGAGGATTGCTTGAGCCTAAGAATTTGAGGTTTCTGTGAGCTAGGACACTACAGCACTTTACCCAGGACAATAGAGTGAGACTCGGTCTCAAAAAACAAACAAACAAATAGATATATTTTTACACTCCAAGAAAAGTCAGTCCTTAAAGTTACCATTCAACAACATCAAGCTGTGCTTGTTGATAAGTTTGGTTGATATATTCTTTGACTTATGCATCTGTCCCCAGAGAGTGCCTTTTTTTTTTTTTTTTTTTTG